GCATTAAGATCCTTCGTCAATCTAACCACAACAACAATAAATGAGAATACCTGGGCAAACCTAAATAGCATCAAACTAGTACTTAATCAGAGAACAACGGATCTAAGCAACTCTGATTTGAACTGGCACAACACATGGAGTGCACTAAAAAATCGACAGGGTAAAAGATGTACAAGCATTAGGAAGAGTAACGCACTAATGTTCAGAATCAAATGCATCAATAAACTATTACCTACAAAAGATTTATGCTATCAAAGGGATCCAGCACTTTACAAAACCAAAACGTGCATTGCCTGTTATGCAAAGGCAGAGTCATTAGAACATTTAGCGGAATGCCAAATATATCAAGGGATTTGGAAAAAAATAGAAGCGTTTATAATAGAGGAGCTAGAGCAACAGCTTAGTTCCAAATGGGAAATTACAATTAGAAGCCAAATACTCAACGAAACTTTTTTAGGTTCGAATACAGAAACTAGACTTCAAAAAAGAAAACTCCTTATACGGGGGCTTACCAGTAAAAGCTTAGTAGCAGAGGTTAGGGATCTTCTGGGCTCAACTTCTAAAGCGAACAAAGCCATTTGCTGGTTCACTGAAATATTCTGGTCAAACTTCTTTGAGAGGCTCTGGAAGTTTCGCTGCGAGGTATTTTCAGAATGGGAGAAAAGAAATGGGATCGACAACAAGAAAAAGAAGAAGAAAAAACCTAAACACAACTCCCTAACCAAAGTAAAGAAGAAGCAAGAAAATAAAGAAAACCAAGCCCCAGTAGAAAAAGAAGCTATGGAGTCAGAACGGGATAAAGAAATAAGAATTCAAAAAGAAGCTGAAAGCAAAGTTGTAAGTTGGATTGAAGGAGGAATGAAGGATAGTTGGTTAAGTTTCAAAAACAATTAGGCAATTTTGATACGGGCGCATAGCAGCCTTCTGTAGATCTTAAGAGTAAGACCCTGTTTAGACATTCTACTCTTTTGGGAGGAAAATTTGTTATTGCGGCAGATCGCACCTGGGCACTTCAAGCAGCCGAGTGAGTCTGGATTTAAGTCAAGAGGGCAGTTTTATAACTAGTCTTAGTTAGTTTATAATTTTGCTGTAACATATTTTATGTTTTCTCTTAATAAATGAAAGGCAAGATCGCCTAAGGAAAAAAAAAAAAAAAAAAAAAAAATAATTATGCTTTTCAGCTAACTTAGAGGCTTTAAAATATATTATATACAAATAAAGAAAGATAAATATGTATATACACAACTAATTTAGTTTTCAACTGACCTATATTCTTGAATATATGTATTATACTAAAAAAAGAATATATGAATATGCATAACATAATTATCATTATGCATAGAACATTAAATTAAAAATTAGCAAAGTAATTATTTTACTAATTTGATAAGGTTTTGATTTTAGTATGATAAGTACAAACTTATTAAATTAATAGTCTAATTTATAATCAAGTATCTTAACCAGAATAAAGAACTTAAATAATATTATAAAAGACTAAAAAAAAGCTTCAAAAATACTAGAAAAAAAATAAGAAAGAACTTTAGAGAGGCTAAAAAACTTTAACAACACTAAAAAGACTCAAAAAAAAGCTTTAAAAATGCTAAAAAGAATCAAGAAAAAACTCTAAAAAAGTTAAAGAACTCTAACAATGCTAAAAAAGACCAAAAAAAAACTCTAATAATGCTAGAAAGAACTAAGAGAAATTAAAAAATTCAAAAATACTAGAAAGATTTGAGAAAGAGCTCTAAAAACACTAAAAAAAACTAAGAAAGAATTCTAGAGAAACTAAAGAACTTTAACAATACCAGAAAAGACTCAAGAAATAACTCTAATAATGCTAGAAAGAACTAATAAAGAACTCTGGAGAGATCAAAGAACTCTAACAATATCAGAAAAGATCTAAAAAAGAATTTTAATAATACTAAAAAGAACTAATAAAGAATTTTAGAGAGATCAAAGAACTCTAATAAAGCTAGAAAAGATTTGAGAAAAAGCTTTAAAAATATTAAAAAGAACTAAAAAAAAACTTAAAAAAGCTGAAGAACTCTAAAAACACTAGAAAAGACCTAAGAAAGAGTTTCAAAAACACTAGAAAGAACTAAGAAAAAATACTAGAAAAATTAAAGAACTCTAATAACATTATAAAAAACCTAAGAAATAACTCTAATAACACTAGAAAGAACTAATAAAGAACTCTAGAGAGATCAAAAAACTCTAACAATATCAGAAAAGACTTAAAAAAAAACTCTAATAATATCAAAAAAAAACTAATAAAAAATCTTAGAAATCAAAAAATTTCAATAATACCAAAAAAGACATGAGAAAAAATTCTAAAAATACTGAAAAGAACTAAGAAAGAACTCTAGAGAGGCTAAAGAACTCTAACAATACTAAAAAAGACCCAAGAAAGAGCTCTACAAATGTTAGAAAGAACTAAGAAAGAACTCTAAAGAAATTAAAAAACTCTAAAAATATTAGAAAAGATCTAAAAAATAATTCTAATAACACTAGAAAGAACTAAGAAAAAGTTTTAGAGAGATCAATAAACTCTAATAATACTAGAAAAGATCTAAAAAAGAACTTTAATAATGTTATAAAAAATCAAAAAAGAATTCTAGATAGATCAAAAAATTCTAATAACACTAGAAAAAACTAAAAAAGAATTTTAGAGAAGCTAAAGAACTCTAAAAATATCAGAAAAGACCTAAAAAAAAGTTCTAATAATGCTAAAAAGAACTAAGAAAATACCTTAAAAAAGCTAAAAAACTTTAAAAATGCTAGAAAACATCTGAAAAAGAGCTTCCAAAATGCTAAAAAAAAACTAATAAAGAATTTTAGAGAGATCAAAGAACTCTAATCATGTTAGAAAAGACTTAAGAAAAAGCTTTAAAAATACTAAAAAGAACTAAGAAAGAATTTTAGAGAAATCAAAGAATTCTAATAATACCAGAAAAAACCTAAAAAAGAGCTTTAAAAACACTAAAAAGAACCAAAAAAGAACTTTAAAAAAATCAAAAAACTCTAACAATACCAGAAAAAATTCAAGAAAGAGCTCTAAAAATACTAAAAAAAACTAAAAAAAAACTTTAAAAAGATTAAAGAACTCTAACAATACCAGAAAAAACCCAAGAAAAAGCTTCAAAAATACTGAAATGAACCAAGAAAGAATCTTAAAGAGATCAAAAAACTCTAAAAACACTGAAAAAACCTAAAAAAAACTTGAAAAATATCAGATTATTGAAGAGACCAAAAAAGAATTTCAGTAATATCAAAAAAAAGATCCAAGAACTCTAGTAAACATTGGAAAGAAAGACACCAGTAAACACCAAAAAATTAACAAAAAGATCTATCAAAATGACCAAGATGAAAAGGTCCACCAAAAGATCTAAAAAAAACAACATTTGTATTATATTAAAAAATATTTTACTATGGTTAACGCTGATTGGCTGAATCTTGTAGATCATCATGCGGTTCGAGTAGAATCTCCTTTTAGCGACAAAATTTGTCGCCATGGCTAGAGTACTAGGTTTTTTTCAGGACCGATCCAACCCTACTCCAGGTGATTGATTCGAATCGGCCAATCAGAAGTCACTGGAAGTCATTGAAATCACTGGAACTTCCATTCCAGTAAAAAAAATCTTCAATGAAACGGCCCAGTGACCCCAGTGACATTCGACCACTGGAAGCTATTATGCCTCTGATTTCATCCAGTTAAATCCCACTGGAAGTATACACTTGAGGAAAAAATTGATACTGTATTATGCCTAATATTAACCTGCGGCAATAATGTGAAATTTTTTCCGTCAGTGTTCACATAGTACTTGCCGAATAATATATATTATCGAAGGGTTAAATCGAATAATCATCTAATTTTTTTTTTTCAGAATTTAAAATTATTTCAACGATCACAATGTGATCAACAAATCACAAGAATGTTAACCTCTAAGCATTTACCTAGTCAGTGTAATCTTCGCGTTTTAAAATACTGCAAGATTGATTTTTTTTTTTTTTTGCCGTTCAGTATTTAGACATGTCACTTCTCCCAATTAATAGCACTATTAAAATCATTTATACTCTTTATTAAAACCTCAAAAAATTTAAAATTTTTGGATTGGGCCCAAAGGTTAGCCGTGAACAAAGAATTAATATGTATAACGATAATCCTTATACAGAAGATCCGATAGACCATCCACGCTGTGTCTGTTAAGATAAACAAATTCATCAAGGTTTCTCTAATAAGTATAGGATTAGAAACAGTTTTCGGGTAATCGTCAACAATCCAGTCGAAATAGGCTAGTGATATCACATACTGTTTATGCAATAAAAACATTTGATTTTCCCTGCTTTGCTATTAGAGCTTTCACAATTTTCATTGGATTGAACTTCTTATAAATAGATATAAATAGTAAGAATACGCATAATTTTTATGTATAAAGACTGAAATAGAACCAATACTCTACATGATGCATCGAGAACAGAATCATGAAACTATAGTCATGTGTATATATAATCTGCCAACTTTTATATCAAGATGACATCATATAATAGTTCGAATATAGGACTACCGGGATGACACGGATGACACGAATGACACGGCAGACTCAATTTAAACTTCAAATACAGTCAATCGCATAAGATTTATTAACCCTTGTTTTTGCCTACTTCCTTTTTTTTATAGTTTATTCGTGATAGTTTCATGTAGGTACATAACGATAAGTCACGTACATACATACAGTATTCACATGATAATGCATGCATTTATCTAAAAAAAAAACCTTTAATGATTTGGTTGGGATAAAGTGAAGTTGGACCAATTGTTAAATTAAATGTTTGTTTTTTTTTTAACTATGATAATTCTGCAATATAAAAAAATTCGGGCAAAAATTTCTGCCTGTCGGAATTGTTACACTGTGTCCCAAACATTTTATATAAAATTCTTATGGTAAAGTATTTCTCATTTATTTTTGCTTAATTTAATTTTTACTTTTGGAAGGTCGAATATGACAAAAAGTTGGTCAACCTTTTCTCGTAATTATACAAAGTTACTTGAAGACGCTGACGGTCATGACTTAGTTATAAATGTCGGTCAAGAACCTGTAATAAAACCTTTTAAAGCTCATTCTGTTATATTACGAGCACATTCCCCTTATTTTCGTCGAGCTTTGTCAAAGGAATGGGCAAAAGAAGAAGACGGAAAAACCGTCTTTTACAAGCCTAATGTATCGCCTCCTATTTTTGAAATAATTCTCAAGTAATTGTCTTTAATCATTATTTAATAATTTGCTTAAAAAATTTACCTAATTATCCATTTTTTATTATTATTAGATATATGTATTCTGGAATTATAATTATCGAAGATCAAGATGGTGAATTTATTTTGAACCTCTTAACTGCTGCTGATGAATTAATTTTACCTGAATTTATTGACGAAGTACAAGAATTTCTTGTTGCAAAACGTATTTCTTGGATGCAAGAAAATTTTTATCACCTTTTAGATTTCTCTTTTAGTCATGATACTTATAAATTATTACAAGATTATTGTCTAGAAACTATATGTGCTGATCCTCCTTTATTATTTGATTCTGATTATTTTTATTGTCTGGATAGCAATATTTTAACATCCCTCCTTCGTCGTGATGATCTTGCAATGGATGAAGTTGACCTTTGGAATAATATTATTAAATGGAGTTTTGTGCAAAATCCTACTCTTTCTGATGATCCAACAAAATGGAGTTCGGAATTTACATCTACTTTTCAAAAATCTTTAGCAGAATGTATACCTCTTATTAGGTTCACTCTCATGACTCATGAACAATTTCGTGAAAAAGTTTGGCCTTTTAAAGATATTCTCCCACGTAAAGTGTGTGATGATGTGTTATGGCATTTTTTAATGCCTGATATACATCCAAGTCAATTCCTTCCAAGATTAAAAACTATTGACTCTAAACTCATCACTTTGAAACATGCCTCTTTGATTGCAACTTGGATTGACCGTAAAGAAGGCAAGCCTTACAAACATACCGATATTCCTCATGACTTTACTTTACTTATGCGTGGTTCACGTGACGGATATTCTCAACAGACCCTTCATCAACGATGCGGCGGTCAGGCTAAAACAATCATGTTAATGAAAATAAAATCCACAGAAGAAATTTTTGGAATGTATATCTCTAGTATTTGGAGTAATACTACTAGTTCAAGATCTCATGATAGTTTTATGTTTTCTTTTGGTGAAGGAAGAGATACTAAAGAGCCGGTTCTTAGTCGTGTACGTGCCGCTGGTTACGATCTTGCTTTAAGTAGAGGTCAAGAGAGAGGAATGGACGAATTAGAAATGTTTAAAATTTCTACTAAACCCGTTTTCATGTTATGATATAGAAAAGGTTATGTTATCATTGATTTCATTTGTCTATTGTTTTTTATTTTTATTTTTTCAATTTGTATAGAATTTTATTAATAGATTATAGGGAAATTTTGTTTAAATATTTTAGTAAATTCTTTTTATATTATATTTTATAAAACAAGTAACCATATTATTATATTTTACCCCCCCCCAAAAAAAAATGTAGCAATTAGAAAAAAAATAACTTATTTATTATATTATTTAGTTAAATAAAAATTTTGTATTATAGTTATCTGGTCATTATGACTTAATAAGATTATAGTCTGCTTTTTAAAAAAATTTTATTATTTATGCAGTATATTATTTATTAAAATTTCTTAATTTAATTAAACTATATTACCGTAAATTTTAACTATTAATCTATGAAGCTTCTTTGTTTTTTTTTATTAACCATTTAAATTATTATTAATTTTAGCAATGGGCGATTAGCTGGTTTTAATGAAAAACTATTAAATATTATTTTTGCGTCAGTAATTTAGTGATTCATAATGTAATAATTCAATGACTTATTACTTATCTATGTAATAATTATATATTTTTAATATCGTTATAGTAGAGGTCGGAATCGGTTGTAAAATTTAAAACCCGAATTGTTTATGAAAAAACCGATTTATGTTAAACCGGACTGGCTTAAACCGAATTTAACTCGAATCGTCGGATAAATATTTTGCCGAAAAGAAAAACCTGAAATTATTTTTTTTGTTACATTGGATATATTGTTATTAACACGTAATTTCGAAATTTGATAGAAAATAAATAAAACCGAATGCTAATTTAAAAACCGGTTTGTCGGAGGGTTACAACCGAATTAGAACATTACAAAACGATTTACTATTTAAACCGGTTTAACCCGAAGTTGAAGTTGAATTTCATAATTCGGTTCCGACCTCTACGTTGTAGCATTATTTATTCAGAAAATATTGTTTAATGATTTCTAATTTAGCCCATTGCTAATTAATTTAACTACAGATATTTAAGTCGAAGTTTTATAATTACCCAATCAAATTTTTTGCTTGAATATATTAAAAAGATTTTATATACTACATAATTATTATAAAGTATATAAATTCTATATCTGATATAGAGATTATGTAACTAAAGTAATTAAATAAATAATTTATATTAATATTTAAACAAAATTTAGAATATATAAAACTAAAGTTATATTTATAATTCAATAACAGTAAAGATTACTTTGGTGTAATATAAATATTGAATTAATAAAATTTTACTAGCAATATATATATATTTAAAATATAATATTATGTTTAATTAAATCTATACAAAATTTCATATACTGTAATTAGTAAAGTTATTTTTTATTAATCAGTATCAATAAATTACTAATTTTGTATATAATATTATAATATTTGAAGTATACTAAGATTAATTTCTTTATAGTATTAATTAAACTTTATATTAGTACAGCAAATTGTTAAAAATATTTATATTTATATACTTAATCTTTTATTATATATTGTCTTTTTTTAATATCATATAACTAAGATGATAACATATAAAGATACTTTACAGTTATTGCATAGTTACAATAAATAGAGAGGAGGGCTTTTTGTAAACGGAATTTGGTATTGCATTCCTTAATTTGTTGTTCTACTTTAATGAAACCTCGCAGTAGACTATGCCAATAGATAGTCAAATTTTCTCGGTACTCTGCTTCATTTTACTGTATAGTTCCTACATACATAACCAAATATCAATCGACTCGACTCAGTTTATCAAAAATCGGCCGACTTTAGTTGGTTAATTTATCGCTTAGATTATATTACATTTACAAATAAAGATCTCACAAATATTACACTCTTCTATAATATGACTTACGGTGGAAATTAAAACTTTGGTTAATTTATGAGGCAAGTATCAGTCCGAAAAACATGTTTAAGGAGTAGTCCGCAGTTAAAGGTAAATTTCATAGTAAAAATCGGCGCAGTATTACTAATACTTTCATATAGAGATGGAATCTGAAAAGTTTTTGCAATAGTAAAAATTGTATAGTAAAAAAAAATAAAAATAAAAATAGTAATATCTCTAGATCTACTAAACCGTTTTCGATGATTTTAGCATCATTAGAACGAGAATTATCGTCTCCACCTCTTTACTTAGAAGCTCAAAAAATATTTAATTAATAAAGAAAAAAAAATAGTTTCATATGTAAGCGAGCTGGATTCCTGCATTATAGAAAAACTATATCAAGTTCCGCCGTATTTTACTATGAAATTTGCTATTTTTTATACACTTCAGAGCCGAACTACCTCTTAATGAACTTATATTTGCTCATATCCTCACCTCACTTCTTCCGATCATTCTTCCATCTATAAATTGGTAATCCGTTCTTGTCAACACCAATTTTAATTCTACGCCCTTTTCCCTATAATTTCAAGATTCATAAGAAATTATGATAATGAAATGTATATAAATAAAAAAACGAACCATCAAATTTTTCTGAATTTGTAACTCTTGCTCCACTTTTTCCAATTGATTTTGTCGGTTTATACGAGCTTTAAGATCTTGATATTTCAATAATTTATTTTCGTATAATGTCTGAGTATTTTTAACATAAGTAAATCACTGGATATATAAAACATTAGAACATATATAAATATATAAGGAAAACAATGTCTTGCCTGTAATTCTTCCTCATCATCCGGTACCACAATGACATCATTTTCTAATGTTTTAATACGCGGTCTATTAAACTTGCGATTTATCAATTCAGGAAGAGTGTCAAAATGTTTTGCCATGTCAAACTTTTTGGCTACAAGGTATGAGATTAAAAATTGAAAAAAAAAATATATATATATATATATATATATAAATAGATTAAAAATTAATACAATTGTAATAAAAATGCAATAAACCTTCTTTCTTAGAATCAAAGAATATTATATGTTGAGGTTGCTTTGATCCAATTTTTTCTTTTGAAGACTCATCATCTATTTCCATATCATTTTGAATAATATCTGGATCGATGAAATGTAATTCATTTTTGATTTTTTCAATTTTCTATGAAAAAAGAACAAATTTAAATCGGGCTTATAAATATAGTTAACCACATTAGATTAACCTACCTTATTTCCGAGATCACGTTGAGTTTTAACATAATTTAAATCTTGAGACTTTAACATTTTAATCATATCTCCTGAAAAAGCTGAATTACGTTCTATTGCATGAACGCCTTCCTAAATTTCATTCTTTTAGAACATAAATTAAGACTATTATTGCACGTAGAAAGCTGAATATTATAAACCTTAGTGTTGCTGTTAATCATTTTAAAATAAAATTCGTCAGGATTTCTAAAATATGCTTTTTCTCGCATATTTTTGAGCCTTTTTTGTTTTGCATGATAATCTTTTGCTCGAAGTACATAATCTTTATGTTTCTCGAGTAATCCATATTTCTGCCTGGAGCGTGGTTGTGCTCGTTCTTTATGATTACGTCTTTGAACTGCGTTACGTAGAGAAGACATACTGGTAATTATCGTACTTTAACGCATAAGAAGTTTGAACTTATAATTGATGTGATCTGTCCAATCAACTTTCATTGGTCAATCTACATCTTGTAAAACTATAAAAAAAAAAAATCCCCAGTTAAAAGATCGATCCCTCTCTACGAATTCCTATCCTTTGATTTTTCTAAAGAAATTATGGTAATTTTTATTCATCCATTTTTGAAAAAAGATGGATTAATATTTATCACAATATAAAATCACACCATAAACCCGATTTATTAATTTATTTTTTTCTTTTTTTGCTCGCAATTTATCTAGTCTAGAAAACAAAAGAAAGTCAAAGTTGAGGAAAACATCTCTCTTGGACCACAAGTCCGAGAAGGTGAACTAGTCTTCGGTGTAGCGCATATATTTGCTTCCTTCAACGATACTTTTGTTCATGTCACTGATTTATCTGGCCGTGAAACTATCGTTCGTGTTACTGGTATGATATGATTTATAAATTTTGTAGCTTATTAAATTTATTTCTTCAATGCAATTGGCAATATGGAATTTTGTTAGAGAAATAAAAATGTATTACATAAAGGGAATATTTCAAATTTCAAAATAGTCTGTATAAGAGATAATTGACTTTAGATACAATACACTCTTTTGCAAACAATTTGATTCCCATCCATCATTTTTATTTATTATACAAATTTGTTGGAAGGTTTTCTCAAGGATTCATTGCTTCTGAATGAAAAGAATTGGGACTAGTGGTGAAACACATAATCCCTTCTGAACAAAAAAAAAACTGATGTTGAATTCCTTTGCTTGTTTTCTTTTCGCCGTATTGCGCGCTTTGTGTACTATCACAATCTTCGAATTGTTGAAATGCAGGTGGCATGAAGGTAAAAGCCGATCGTGATGAATCGTCACCCTACGCCGCTATGTTGGCTGCTCAAGATGTTGCAGCTAAATGTAAAGAATTAGGTATCAATGCTTTACATATTAAACTCCGTGCCACTGGTGGTAATGGTACAAAAACACCTGGTCCTGGTGCTCAATCTGCTTTAAGAGCTTTAGCCAGAGCTGGTATGAGGATTGGTAGGATTGAGGATGTTACACCTATTCCCACTGATAGTAGTAAGTATCATACTGTTATTTATTATAATATTTGGTGCGAAATTATTTATTTACTATTTTATTTCATTTTTTTTTATTAAAGCTCGTAGAAAGGGTGGTCGTAGAGGTAGACGTCTGTAAAAGCTCGAATATTGGTTTTTCTTATTTTAATAATTATTTGGCTTTGCTTTATGTATTTGTTATTGCATAAAATAATAAATTATGGGTTATATTCTACCGAACTATATTCGCATGATTGATGGTTTTAATAATTTTATTTAAGTCTAAATAAATGATTGTAAAATTACTGAATATTTTGAGAATGGTTACGGTATGATTCCTCAGAAGTTATTTCCCCGACATTATATTACCGACATGCTATTTTATCTATAGAACATTTTTTGACAAGACTTATTTCCGACAACCTTTTTCTCGACAAAATATATTTTCTGACAAGATATATTTTCTGAGAAAAATTCTCCAATATGAATATTCACCGATAATCATTCCCTGACACATAATCCTAAGTCGGGCCAACCCTAACCCTAATACTAAAACAGGCCAATATTAATTGTCGGGGAAATGGAATGTAATGTTGCATATATGTCTTGTCGAAAAAATTTGCATAAGTGAAATGGCATGCTGGTAATATGGTGTTTGGAAAATGGGTTGGCGGTGAACTAACTTTTGGGAAATTGAGCACCAACGACTAGGGAGACTCTGAAGAAAAATTACAATAGACAGTTTTTTTTAAAAAAGTAAAAAAAGCACAAACAACTCAATAACGGAGGCAGAAGAGGTCAAAGAAAAAGTAAAAGATTATTTTAAAATCAGTTCAGAAAAAGGAATCACAACTTCAATCTTTTAGAGAACTATATAAGGAAGAATACAGTATGAATCCAAAGCATGAATAAAAGAGAGTTGGTTTAAGAAAGTTTAGAAGAAATAACAGAAGAGGAGTAGGAAAGAAACCTATAAACTTAAAGCTTAGGAATTAGATATACTTTTTTAAAAAAAAGCTAGTTATAATAAAAGCTTTGGTATATTTATCTAATATGATTATGCAAGAAAACAAATTCTTTTAAGTGAAATAAGTTAAATTTTTTTAATTTCAAAGAATAATACTGTAACTTATTTTATTTATTTATTTATGCTTATAATAAAACTAAACATAAATATTCTATTATAATTTTTCATATCTACTAATTTTTTCTACTACAGTAAGTAAATATATAATATTTACTCTAATTTCTTGAAGATAACAATAGCTAATTTGAAATATTCTATTAGTATTAGTATTAGAGATGTTATAGTTTAGTCTAGTTTAGTCTTGATCTAAAAAAACAAATTCAAATAGCAAACTATAAACCAGATTATTAAATTGGTCTAGTTTATAACCAAACTACTAAACTTAAAACTAGTTCATATTTAACAAATAGGATTATAAAACATTGTTTACTAAATGTACTTTGGGTATTTTACAAAAAAAAAATTTATATTAAATATCTTAATTGATTTTTATCTAAATAGACAATATATTCTAAGTATTTTAAACTTGAAATATAAACGCAAAATATCAAAGTTACTTCGAAATTTTGGGAAATACCATATTTTGTGAAATTGGATACTCCCTTAGCATAATATCCTTACCTCCTTTTTAATAATTTCAGCATAAATATTATGCATAGTTAAAATAGATTTTGGTGTTCTTACTATAGACCGGTCTAAACCAGTCTCAATTTATTGTATAGGAAGCAAGACTACCACTAACAACCAACAATAAACAAAACGACTAAGCGACAACGTTACTCGAAGCGAAAGACGAGGCGGAATTTGATTTTGCAAGGTAAGGCGGCTTCGGATAAGTTGTACGAGAGTTACTTTTATTTTCTTACTAACGAATGACTTATTTTTTATTTTATTTTATTCAGGGAAGCAGATACAAGAACAATTGCTTTTTGTAGGGCGAAAGGCAACCTTCAAGGGGTAATTCTTTTTGAATTTTAGTATTTTCACTAATACTCCCTTTTCATTTTCATTTTGTAGGTCCCGTTTAGGTACCCGAGCACTATTTTACAAATTACTTTTTGCCTTTTTAGGTTAATTCGTCATTTGCGGGTTCATGTTTTTTTGGGCTTTTCCTTTCATCGTACGATAATTGTTGGGTGTTCCACGATTCGTTATCGTTATACAGAAAGCTCGAGGTAGGTCAGCCTCTAACAATAGGATCAAAGACTATACGGACTAGTTGTTTGGCACAATGTGTACAAAACTAGTGATGCAAAGTCTATACGTACGTATCTGATATCAAAAAATTTTTTCTAGTGTAACAAATTATCAAGCAAAAATTTTTTTTGCTGATCTGATCATCCAATTAAACAAACTTCGAACATAGGATTTTTGACCCGTAAAAGTTTTCTCGAATTATTCTAATGTCCATTCGACAGGTTAAGGAAATTATTTTCCTTGGAACAGGTAAGTAAATAAAACCGTTATGGAAACTATGAAAAGATCTAATATAATTAAATTCAAACAGGCACGTCTTCTGGTGTTCCTTCAGTTGCATGTTTGACCGACCCGGAAAAAAATGTAAAACCTGTCTGTCAACACATACTCCTGAAGGTGAAGTAAACATAAGGAGAAATACTAGTCTATTAGTTAGAGTAAATCACGAGGACGGAAGAGTGAGGTGAGCTATAATGTTTTGGAATAGCAAAGATTTAAACATACAAAACGGTATTTATAATTTTTATGGTCCATGAACAAATAATATTATTAGAAATATCATTATAGATTGCGGAAAGACATTTTATGGTAATAATTAAAATTATTTATGCATCAATGGTGCCAATTTCTTTATTTTTCTAATTTTCATATGATAATTTTATATATAATAAGTTTCTGCATTGAAATGGTGGCCTCATTATGGATTGCGCAAAATTGATGCAGTAATATTAACTCATCCACATGCTGATGCGATGAATGGATTAGATGATTTACGAGCTTGGACATTACATCAAATAATACAAGATCATATTTCAATTTATCTGACAGATGAGACTCATACTTCTGTTAAGAGCTCGTTTCCATATCTAGTGGATACAAAGCAAGCGACTGGTATGGATTATTAACTTTTCTCCTTATTGAGAATAATATTAACTTAAGATTTATCATAGGTGGAGGAGAGTTACCATCGTTCAGATGGAATATTATAAATTCAAAGAGTCCATTTACTGTCGAAGGATTGGAGTTTACTCCACTGCCAGGTACGTTTCAAATCATGCTTGAATGTAAATTTATATTTAATACCATAATTATTAAATATTATTTACAATCATTTTAGTTCACCATGGAGTCCATTTTTCAACAAACGAACCTTATCTTTACATTGGCTTCCGATTCGATAATATATGTTACATTTCTGATTGTAGTTTTATACCAGAAGACACACGCGAGAAAATGCATGGGAGTGAAATAGTAATTTTGGATTCTTTGGATTGTACGTTACTTTCTTAATTTCGTTTAAATTTTTTTCAAGAATTGGATTTTGTCCCTAACAATTCTCCCATTACAATTCTTTCATAAATTTAGATAAGGAGCATACTTCCCATTTTTCGGTACAACAGGCTATTGACACATCAAAAAATCTAGTTCCTATACCAAAAAGGACCTATCTTACAGGCTTTACTCATGCAATAGAACATTACACTTTGACTGAAGAGATGGAATTGTTAGAAGCAGAGGAGCCCGGATTGTGGGTTAGGCCTGCACATGACGGATTAAAAGTTTATATTGAAGACTTGACTCTTTCAAACGGATTAGATAAAAATTAATTTAATTCAAGAATAGACTTAATACTTATAATTAGAATATAGATACTGTATTCTAACAAACTTTTTAATTTATAATATATAGTAATTAATCAGTTGGAACAACCTTTTATCTGATATTTATTGAGAAATTACCACCAATAATCAGCGATCAGCCTTCGAGAGTAAGACATAAAGAAGTACGTACTAGAACCTTATCATCAACTACAGCACAAAAAAAAAAAAAAAATAAATATAAAAAATAAAATAAATAATATATGGTTCATTCTGATACCGAAATTGGTTATAGTTAAAAATTTACTGCTATTATATACAAAAATATAATAACTAAGCTAGTTTTTTTTACTATAAACTTCATCAAATCGATCATTTAATTGTTCTCTTTCACTAATTTCTAGTACTAATCTTAGATCATCACTTTTACTTCTATAATCATCACTGATCTTCTTTAAATAATCTGAACATAGCCTACTTGTTGTTACAAGATTTTCTACAATGTCTCTTGATTTACTACCCTTGCCGCCGCTAAGTGCTGCTAATAATCTAAATGACGCGATCAATTCTTTAAATGTATCATAATGACTTTATTTTTTTGTTGAAAAAAAAAATAAAATAAAATGAAGTATTAATTACGTTTAAATCAAGCGATTTAAAAAATATATACACAATGTGTTTATACTTACCTATCAACAAGAGCAACATGATACCAAGCAAAAATAATTACTGCACCAACTGAGAGCATTAATCCTATAGGTGTAAATAAGCACATACTCCAAATAAAGAAAAATAATGTAATGTAAGCCACTATAAGCCAGGTTAAACCTAACATAATCTTGTTTTGTGCCCTTGATTCTTCATATTTTTCAAATTTTACCGAAACTTTACCCAAAACATAAATTGGCCAATGAAAACAAAGACCTGGTAGAAAAAATGGTAATTGAATAGAAAATTTGAATAATTCACATAAAAATGTATATAAAGCCCATGGTAATGTGAGTCTATGTTTCTCATATCTTGAAATATCATAATGCGAGAGGTGAAGCGAGTTCAGAGTTGTATTATATTGGTTGAGTATATTTTTTAAGGTTGTTACTTCTTCTGATGTTGTGTTTGTGAAAAAATTAATGAGACTAAAGAAATATAATATTTTCAATTAGCATTAAATTTAGGGCAGCTTGCTAATTAATATGATAGCTTACCTTTGTGTGACTTTCACGTAATCTTCAAGCGGAACGCGCTTGTCATCAGAAAAATAAAGCATTCGAGCCATTGAAGCAGCATTAGAAATCTCCCTAATTAAAGGAATTATAATAAGTACCAGAGTTAATCCATTGCTTATGAACCAATGATTATAGACCTCTGAAATAAGCTACAAATTTCGCTTAATTTTAGAGGTCTACTATAAATATAACTAAACACACCAACTTGAAGCATTTATTGTCAATTTTTCTATTTCAGACTCAATACGTTTTGTCAATGCTTTGACAGAAGATCGATTATCGAGATAAAAATCTTTAAGGTACGGATCGATTTGTATAGGCGGACCATACCTTTTTAAAGTAATTTGAGAATATATAATTAAATATCATTACACTTAATTCAGTGAATAATAAATAGTAAATATTTACACTACTATTAATGAGCTTCTATATTTTGATTTTTGCACGTATGTTATCCCGCATGGAATAATTATAATCTGTTTTCCTTTTCGTTTTTTGACAATGACGATATCATCGTCACTATTGGATTCTTCAATGTGATCTTGCTGCGCGATTTGCGAAGCATATTCTAAAGCGGCCTAAAATATTAAAGAAATATTAATACATAATGATTTTTCAACGTAATATAATAAATGCATTAAATAACAATCAATACTAGCCCAAGATGCACCATCCTTAAATACCATTAATCGAGATTCGGAATGAGACGTGCCTGGATTATGAAATAGGTATTAAAAACTTGTACCTTTTTTTTTTTTTTTTTTAATACAAAAACAATAGATATGATCTAATTTTATATTTAACAATCACCTTCTGGAAATACAGCAACAACTTCATCGAGTTTCAGAACTTCCAATGTGGCTGAAAATAATGCTTTGTTATTCTTTGTAGTTCTATCCACAGGGACAACACCTCCGCTCACTAAAATAGGTCTCGTGAACTTATTAGCGAAAAGAGAATTCTTTGCCCAGAAATGCAGTTTTCTTTGATGAGGGAACGTAACGGCAAGTACTGCCGGATCAACTATCATATTACTTATGAAATTATAAATATAAAAAGTTAGTTAAAATAATATTTGTTGTCTTGCAATTAAATCATATTGAACAGCGGAATTTTGATACCTATGTGTTGAACAAGCTATAAGTGGACCTTCTTTTGGCACATTATCATGTCCAACAACTTTAATTTCTCTATAAAATCCATGAATGCTCCATCGCGATAAAGTAGTTATAATATCGTATGATATCCCAAATGGCATGTTTAACCTTAAAATCAGTAGCACCTCTGTCAAATAACAACAGGTTTAAAATCGTTATAATCTAAAAGATTATTTAAAAGATTGACTTAAGGACACAAAAGACGTTCGTGCTTTACGAGATTTTAAAATCTCTTTTTGGTCGACAGAATCGAAAAATAATTATGTAATATTTTGAGGTTCTACGTAATACAAATCGACCTTTCCGCTAAGCATATGAAAATGACATAGAGATAGTATATCTGCATATCGATATATCGAGTGTAATTATAAAGGTATCGGAGATAGTTGGCCAATCAGCGACAAACTTATTAACATGTGATACTATGTAGATAACTAATACGTACGAATGAGCATAGTGGACATTCGATTTTATTGGCTCATAAAACTCTGAGTCACAAAATATAAAAAAATTTTTTTAAAGTAAACTTTACTATGAAAAGCCACTTCGTTAATTGGCAACTTTCAGTTTCACAAAGTAAAGTTTAACCAAAACGTTTTATAGGCTTCTTTTACTCTCAAGACGTCTA